TCCCCTCGGCGTGGCGGGCCGGGAGTGCGTGCGGGCAGCGCCGTGCGGGTCGGTTTGGCTGCCGAGGTGTCGGTTCTGCCCCGGCAGGTCTCCGGGCGCTGCCCTGGCTCGGCGGGCGCTTCGCAACGACTCCGAAACTCGGAGCTTCCTTTTCCTGAGAGGGCGAGGGGTCGGGCCGCGCGGGGCGGCCGAGCTGCGGGTTGTCCGGGCGCTCCCCGGGCTGCTCTTGGGCCAGGCCCTGCTGAGCGAGGGCAGATTCGTTGTGTCCCACCGCGGGAAAGGGCTGATGCCCACGGACGGGTCACGCTGGTGGGGAGGCTGATGTCGGCAAGGACGGCGGCTGCACCTGCTCGCCCACCGGCTGGTCTGTGCCCGGGGGAGCTGCGGGAGCTCGGGCACTGGCTCCGGTGTGGGCCTGCCCGTGGGTTGCCTGGGGGAGTTGGGTGTCGAGAGCTGCAGGCTGGGGCGTGCCAGGAGCAAACCCCACAAAATAAATAAAATTAAGTAAAATACCACATCTCTGAACTGCTGCATCCCTGGAAGGCAGCAGAGCGTTCCCAGAGCTGTGTCCCAGAGCTGTGTCCCGGTGCTGGGATCAGGCAGAATGGGGGTTCCCTGGGTGCTCTGCAGAGCAGCCAGTGCAGCAGCATTCCCTGGGTTTCCCCAGATTCCCAGCAGTGTCAGAGGCAGCAGCAGCCCCGGGAAGGGCCAGGGAGTCACGGGTTCCTCCTTTGCCAGGATGTGCCCTGGGAACCGCCTGAACCCGGTTCCCCTCTGGTCCAACCCCTGAGCAGCCTTGGATCTGTGGAGCAGCCAGAGCCGGTTTAGGCAGTTTTGGGTCCACGTCCTCGCAGTGATTGTGGATCAGGGAACTGCCTGGGAAATGGCCCTGCAGAAATTGTTATTAACGGGATCGAATTCCAGCCAGGCTCGCCGTGTGGCTGCTCGAGCTTTCCCCTGCACCGCGGGGAAGGCAGGGGAAGGAAGGGTGTGACCGCGGGGATCGGCGGCTGCCGGGCCACTGACTCATCCCAGGAGCCTGAGGAACTTCCTTGTCGCCAGCGCCGCGGGATCCCAATCCCGGGTGTGAAATCCAGGGCGAGCTCCTGGCTGCTCTGTCCGGTGGGATGGGGGGTCCTGCTCCCCTGCATCTCCCTCCTCCCATGCCCAAAGTGCCGGGAGGATCCCAGAGAGGGTCTCGGTGTGCCAGCTGGCAGGGCAGGCTGAAGGCAGCGAGTGCCGGTTCCTGGTGGGAAGCTACTCCTGGGAAGCACCCGGGGCTCTTCGCCTGGACTTCATTCCCCGGCTGACGAGCCAGCTCTGGTGATTGGCTTTGGGGCTGGAGGCCCTGGGAGGCGCCGTGCCCGGCGCAGGTGGGCAGCACAGCCAGGGGCTGAGGGGGCTCTGCCAAGGGCCTCCTCAGTTTGCATGTTACCTGGTCCCTTAGCTCCTCCTTGCCCGGCGGTGGGATGGAGGAGCCCTGGTTTGCTGACCCTGAGCTGCTGAGAAGGCTGAAGGGAACTTCTGGCTGCTGCTCCCTGGATTTGCTGAGGCTTGGAAGGTGGTGTTGGGATCTCCATTCCTTAGCCCTGGGCTGGGCTTGCCTGGGGCAGCCAAGCTGTGGACGAGGTCCTGCTCCTTCTCCCATTCCTCTGGCCATGACACAGATCTGTGGAAAGAACCCAGCCCGAGACCCACTGTGCCCAGTGCCTCATTCCAGCCCTCAGAGGCGCAGAGCAGGTGGATCCAATTGGGTTACTGTGATCTCCAGATTGTGGCTCAGGCTCCTGGCACTTGTCCCAGCACTGGGGCCCAGACCTGTTCCCGGCTGGAGCTGTGTTGTGGAGAGCAGGGCTGGTCTGGGTGTGCTCTGGGCTCAAGTCTGTTAGGAGTAGAAGCTTCACCCAGCTGCTCCCATGTGACAGAGCATGTTCTCTGTGCCTTGGGGCAGGGACCTGCTCCAGCCCTCGAGGCTGGATTTTTCCAGCCCCAGGTGAGAGGGAGCCTGAAGTCATGGCAGAGCCATCCTGGGGAGGCCAGGTGGGAGCTGCCGGGCTGTGCCACGGGGAAGGGCTGTGCTGGCACAGCCAGGGGTGCAGCCACACTTCTTCCCACCCTAGAGTCACTGTTGTGTGAGAGGATGGCAGAGCAGGAGCCCACGGCCGAGCAGTTGGCCCAGATTGCAGCTGAGAATGAGGAGGATGAGCACTCAGTCAACTACAAACCACCAGCCCAGAAGAGCATCCAGGAGATCCAGGAGCTGGACAAGGATGATGAGAGCCTGCGCAAGTACAAGGAGGCTCTGCTGGGCGCTGTCACTGTCACTGCAGGTGAGCCCCAGGGCTGTGCCTCCTCCAGGCAGAGCCTGTCAGTCACCCCCAGCCCTGTCCCTGCTTCTGCCTGGGTTGTGTTAGTGCTGCCCCACACTAGGCTCCAGCCCTGGGCACAGGGAGTGGGGGTGGCACTCAGCCTTCCTGGGGAGCTCTTGGGGAGTGGTGGGTGGGCCTGACACTGTGGGAAGACAGACCCTCCCCGAGGGGGATGCTGTTCCCCTGGGGTTTCTGGCTTTTTCAGGAAGTGCCCTGGGAGGAAAAGGAGTCACGTGAGTTGGTACTGGGGATGGGGGTTTAACAGCCTCCTCGCTTCTTTTCTAGATCCCAACGCTCCAAACGTGGTGGTGACCAAACTGACCCTGGTCTGTGCCACCGCCCCTGGCCCTCTGGAGCTGGACCTGACAGGTGAGCTGGGAGAGAATTCCTGCCCTGCTCCTGGGGCAGAGCTGCTGCTGTGGAGCCTGGCAGACCCCCCGCAGGAGCACTGCTCGGGGGGAGCCCCCCCTTAGCACCCTCAACAGAGCACAGTGCCTGGCCCGGGTGGGTTCTGTACTCAGAGCCCAGTGGTTGTGTCCCCATCACGCCCCACTGGGGGAGGAGCTGCTGGGATGGAGGTGGGTAATGTCCTGCAGCTGGGGCAGCCCCGGAGCAAACGGCTGCAGAGGAACAGTCCTAAAGGGACAGCACCGTCCCTGTCACACAAACACAGGGTCACCCTGCTGTCACAGACTGTCCTGGGCACAGCCCAGAGGGACTGAGCAGCCCTCTCCCTTCTTTGCAGGTGACCTGGAGAGCTACAAGAAGCAAGCGTTTGTGCTGAAGGAAGGTGTGGAATACCGGATAAAAGTCTCCTTCAGGGTAAGAATTTAGATCCAAAAACAGATGAAGGAGAACACGAGTTGCCATGAGGGAGGGAATTGTCCCCTGCTGAGATGGGGTGGGCATCCCGGTGATGCCTCCTACATCCTTGATGTCTCTACAGGTCAACAGGGAGATCGTGTCTGGGCTGAAGTACATCCAGCACACGTTCCGGAAAGGGGTTAAAAGTAAGTGCTGCCTTGGTGTGAGATCCCACTGGAGCATCGTGGTGCTGGAGCGGCTCAGCAGAGCTCCAGCACCACCCTCCTCCCACGGGAGGAGGGATCACTTCACACATCTCTTCTCCTTCTAGTTGACAAGACCGAGTATATGGTGGGGAGTTACGGCCCCCGGGCAGAGGAGTATGAGTTTCTGACCCCCATGGAGGAGGCCCCCAAGGGCATGTTGGCCCGGGGCAGCTACAACGTCAAATCCAAATTCACAGATGATGACAAGACTGACCACCTGTCCTGGGAATGGAACCTGACCATCAAGAAGGATTGGAAGGACTAGCCCTTCCTGAGGCCAAACCCCAGAGAGCGTGAATCAGACAGTGGCTACCGTAGGAATCCCCCCCTGTACCAAAGTGCTGACATTGGAGCATGTTGGCCCGGGGCAGCTACAACGTCAAATCCAAATTCACAGATGATGACAAGACTGACCACCTGTCCTGGGAATGGAACCTGACCATCAAGAAGGATTGGAAGGACTAGCCCTTCCTGAGGCCAAACCCCAGAGAGCGTGAATCAGACAGTGGCTACCGTAGGAATCCCCCCCTGTACCAAAGTGCTGACATTGGAACCCTCTTACCTGTCACCCCCCCATTATAATTTGACCAGATCTCAGTGTGTAACGTGCCCCCCC